GCTTGATCCTGTGAGTGTGTGTGTGCGGCGGGGGGGGGGGGGGAGGGGGGCAGGGGGGGCGTAGTTAGTTAGATTTTTGTGTGGGTGAGCATTAAGTAGTTAGATTCGGATTGTGGTGCGCCGTTTTTCTTTTTCTTGGATCTCTCTGCAATAACCCATGCAGTATGCCTCATGAAATCTCTAAGGGCCTCGTCGGGCCATACTCAAGCCCATGCCAAAGGGGAAAATGGCCCCTAAGTAGATTAAGGGCCTTCGCGGGCGACAGTTGACTAAAGTCAACTGCCTGACGCCCAACAGTCAACCTCAAAGTGGACCCAGCCCAGGTCGTCGGTCAGATGCACACACTTGTTTGTATGCACGTACCCAAACAGCATCAGGACCAAAGGGAAATCTGCAACTGTACACCATCCACGCCCTCGGCTGTGAGTCGATTTGTACGACTGTGGGTGGGAGACCTGAGGCTAGACTGCCTCGACAAACACTACATAAGGCTTGGTCTCCAAGAGGTCAACATTCAGTCTTGCTATGTTGCCTTGATGCTGGCTTGACGTTGACATGACGCTGGCTCGACGCTGGTTGGACGCTGGCTTGACGCTGGTTGTGCGCTAGTACTGTGGATGATGACGCGGGATTGTGGCAGCATGCTGGCGCCTTCTCTGTTGAGCGCCAACCTCTGCTGATGTGGTGCGTGCCACCTGTCTTCATTGCTGATGTGGATGATTGGGGGAACTGGTGCTCACCTAAGGTTGACGACGATATCGTGCACTGCTGTTTGTCTTCATTGTCTCCATGAGATGACAGTGCCACGTGGCACTTCTATGTGATCAGGACTTGTCCGACTTGTTACTGGGTATTGATTGCTGACGTGGAGGCGAGGGGAAGCCTGGAGAAGGAGTGGGTAATGTTTGGGCTACTCTTTTGGTGGTCACTGATTATCTCTTCCACCCTCTCATCTGTCTATTCCCCCTCCACTCTCTTGTCTATTGGTAACGAGACATGGTATCAAATATCACTTTTACGATTACTGGAGACATTGTGCAGATCTGAGTCAACTTGTACTTCGACATTTATGAGTATCTTCCAGTCTGGGTTCATTACAATTTATATCGAAGCATACCTCCTTCATCGCAATCTGCTGTCAGGTGCTGACGTGGCACCCGGGTAAGTGGGAGGTGTCGCACGTGCAGGAACGAAACACATTTATTAATGCGCATGGTTAATTCCGCTTGTCTAGACATTGAGTACCGCACATGCGTGCAACCTCCATTGAAGGTGATGACGTGGTTACACTGAAGAAGATTGGGATACCGGCGAGAGGATCGTTGGCAACAGGCTGACATGGCGCTGGTGAAGAAAAAGAGTGTTGTGATGAACCATCCAAACATGGACTGAAACACAGCTGATTTCTAAGTTTTGCCCATAGACTGAATGCCTTGCTGAGTTTCCCGCCTGCTACTAAATCTGTCTGTGCACGCTTGCTGGGCTGCATGTCTGTCTGAGTGCTGGTTGGCTGGAGTGTGTGTATGGTCGTGCCTGTCTGAGTGCTGGTTGGCTTGAGTGTGTGTGTGGTCGTGCCTGTCTGAGTGCTGGTTGGCTTGAGTGTGTGTGTGGCCCGCAAGGGCACTTGCTCGTTCATTGGGCCCTCAGGCCCGGTACTTACCTGTGGCCGTGACATTGAGGGATTGCAGCAGGAAAAAACACTCAAGTAGCAGGTAGGCCGGTACCGCACCCTGAAGGGGTAGATTTGCGGGTACTGGAGGCCGAGCAGAAGAAGACAAAAGTGTCATTTTTAGAGGCCCGGTAGTTGTAGGTTAGGTCTAGGTGGATACGAGTCCAACCAGTTTGGGTCTAGGGCCTGTACGGGCAATATCAGAGTCTGCAATGATGTTTGCCTCCAAAAGGGAGGAGGTACCGGTTGCTTGGAAGGCCGAGCGGCCTAGTAGTCACCGCCTGAAGAGGCGAGCAGGCCGCTACATCTCCCAGCCGGGGGAAGAGCCCGGCCTCTTTTTCGGTGTGCAAGTTTGGCGACACACTGGTGGAGCGCTGGCTGGAGCAGCGCTATGCTGGAGCAGCGCTGCTGGGGAGGAAGGAGAAGGACACGAGGGAGGAAGAAGGAAGGAAGTTGGAGGAGCGCCAGGGGTACTTACCTGGCTATGGTGGCAGCCATCTTCATCACATTGGTGGGCATTGCAGCAAGGAGTCCCCAACTGGGGAGAGCTACACCAAGAAGCTTCGAGGCAGGGTCGGGCATCGCGGCCTGAGCTAGAGCAGCCATAGCTGCTTTGGGTTGTCCTTTGGGCATCAGGGCAAGGCCTAGTAGTCCGCCATAGCCCCGACCTATGAGAGTGAAGAATGGGGGAGGCGGCCATGGCTATGGTGGACCTCAAGTGATACCTGCAGTAGAAGAGGAACTCGGACATTGATTCTGGATCAGCCATTCAACATTGTATTATTATTTCTTGTATGAAAGAGAAGGGGGAGATAAGGAGGAGGAGATTGTTGGGCGAAGAAGAAGAGCCTTGTCACTTGTATATGCTGGTGTACATCATCTTCTTCTTTTTTCTTACTTCTTCTTCTTCTTCTAATCCTCTCTCTCCTCTCAAGTTCATTCATTTCTTTCTACAATTGGACGACATTGTACTATCTGATGGATGTGTATCTCGAAATTGGTCAGGATCATAACATTGGTATCAAAGTCGATTCTATGTGCTGGTGAGAGTTGACTTTGCTGCCCTAACCCTAACCTAAGTGGATTGAGGGCACCACTTAGGGTTAGGGTTGGTTTGTGAAGGAAGAGTTGCAGCGTGGTTGAGGGAAGCTGCCCCCACCTGGTTAGGTCACAGAGGGTCGACGTTGAACCTAACCAGGTTGCTTGAGAGCGAGATTAGGGTGGCGAGACATTTCGAGGAGACTTCATGTGGCAATTTGAGAGAGGCGACAGTGAGACACACTCGCACCTGGAATCTGATTCAAGGGAGGCACTTGGCAACTTAAGGGCTGCCCTCAAGTAGGCGAGCTTGAGGGTCAGCGGCCACTCAGCATCTACGGACTGCAAGTTGCTACTTTGTTCTTCAGCATCGACGGGGGATCCCGCGGTGCACTTTGGTGTTGGAGTCAGACCCTCCTAGGAGAGGACACTGGTGTAGGGGTAGTGTTAGAGGGGTCAGGAGGATCACATGAGAGGGGGGTGAGTTCTATTCATCTCGAAGCTCAAGGCCACTCAGGTAAGTGCCATGCACCTACGGGATGCCCATGTGTGTGTGCATGGTATGGTTTGTCCTGTTGGGGTTACTCTGGGTTTCTTTTCCTACTCCTCTGTGGTCTTGATTGTGTGACTGAATGCATGTGATCTACCTACTCACCTGATGGATGGAAAATGAAGTATCTTGATCTAAATGTCGAGTCTTTCTACAGTGCTTTGTCTTTTCATCTCTGAACGGTTGTAGTCTGTAGGTTCTGCCGAAAGTTGAAATTTCGTTTTTCAGTACAGTAGAAACTGAACTAAGTCCATAAGGGACTCCTCTTGGTTGGGACCTGGCCACAACCTACAATAGAACCCAGTGGGACCGGGCCCAAACAAGAAGAGCCCTTTGGGCCCAAATCAGTTAGGCATTAGCCCATTGTCTTCTGACTGTGTTACGAAGTTCTTTCTTCTTGGTTAGGACACCCACTGCCGAGGGGATCTCGACTGAGACGTTTCGCATGTTTTTTGGTTGCACTGTCTGTGGCTTGACTCGCACCCTGTACACCACTCAATTCTTCATTGTTGCATTTAGTCACTCATTGTCTGGTTTGCTGTACGGTCACAGAGCTGGTCAGACTGGACTCGAGAGGACCTCGTATGCAGTATGATCAGACGGGGTCGCTGGATCAGACCTCTCATGTGAATTTGATGTTTTTCTTTTGGTTTGCTGCTCTCTAAGTCCAACTGAAATGTCGCTCCAGCTAGGAGTTCTACCTTCTCTTCTCTAAGCTTTTCAGTCTGTTTCTCTCAGTTAATTTCCGATGCCCGTGGAGACTGGCAACCAGAAAGAAGAGAGAGAGAGGAGGGAGAGAGAAAAGGAAGAGCGGGAAAGTGACCGTCTGGAATGGGTAAGTACTGGGAAAAGGAGTGTTCATCCAAGTAAAAAGGGGAGTACCTCTTCAGAGTCTAATTGATTTTTTTGCTGATTGGCGTCTCCGTGACCCACCTGCCAACACTAACGGTCCGAAAATGGCCCAACTATCCTCAGGACAATGGCGGGCCCTATTAAATGCAGCAAGCGATACGGAGAAACCGTATCTGCACGCACTCCTAGATAGTGCTATAGAAAGGGAACAGGAAGCGGAGAAGGAGAGGAAGGAACAACTGCTGAAAAGTCAAGAGACCATCTTGGAAATTTCCCTCGGTGACTAAAGAGCAGTGTGGGGAACAACTGCAGTCCATACTCACCGCTATCGTCCAAGTCCGGAGGCTTGAAGATCATACCACTCATATCTCCGACGTCTTCACAAAATTGAAGACACTTCAGGCGGATCTGACTGATATGACCAGCAAGTACCGCGACTTGATGGTAGAAGTTGCTGCACTGCGACAGGCCCAAGTAACCAATCCTCTTCCTCTACCCCCTGGTTCCGGAGCTGCGATTAAGACTAATCTTGCCCCTCTTACCGTATCTTCTTCTTCTTCCTTGAGTGTGATGGCAAACCCATCGGGACCTGCAACAGGTGCAGATTCCGCTGTTGCCATAACAAGCGACGAGGCAGGAAATTTTGCAACTGCTGCAGCCCCAAAATCTGAACCAGCAGCTGCTGGTCCCAGCCACGCCGGTCCCTATGTGGATCGAAAGGCGGTGCAAATACCATCTAAGTATGACGGCAAAGAAGACATTGAATCCTGGATCAGCTCCATGACGGCATACTTCGAGGTGCTGCGGACTCAGCCAGAGACCCAGCCAGTGATCATGGGAATGAATGTTGAGTCGGTTGTACGGGGCTTCCTAGAAGTCCAAGCTACGCGGGCTAGGCTTCCAACGATCGAACTGACAAGGTGGATTAAGACCACCCCGGTTGCCTCCCTCGAGCTCCTCATTGCCCAGTATAAGCATCCACGCGCTGCAGCAAGGGCAAAAAGCCAGCTTGACAAAATAAAACGCAGCAAGTAGACGGGCTCCATGAAAAGCCTGCAAAGCTATCTCAGCAAGATGTTTGCTACACTTGGTCTTGAACTGACTGACCAATCTTGCTTGGATGTCGTCAAGGGCGCAGTCCCTACCAGTTTTACTAATTGCCTAGGCAGGGACTTCAATGGGTATACTGACTGGTTCACTCTAATGAAGGACATAGTCATTCTCGAGGCGGTAGACCTCGTCACCACAGCAGGCAGCAAAAAGCCCATAGGCGGCAGGCGGTTCAAAGGCAGCAGCCGTTTTGCTGTGCATGCCCTGCTGGAGGCTGAAGAGGAGGCCGAAGTAGATGACCCCACTCTTGGTGACGACCAAGAACAGGACGCTGATATAGCCTGTTCGTCAGCCCATGAGTCTGATGTAAATCAAGAAGAAGAAAAATTTACTGCCTTTAAAAAGATTGCTGATACAAGGGGACCGAATCGGAATGCGGGGAAGAATTATGTCCAACTTCCCAAGGGAGTCAAGATCCCAGCAAAACCAGAGGATGCGGCCACTAAACCATGGGTCGACCTCCGGATCACTGAAAACGATTGGCGGGGTACACTCAAGAAGGGGGTATGCCTGCATTGCCAGAAACCAAACCATAAAGTACAAGATTGCTATGGGTTGCAGGGAAACCAGACCCGGGTGTAGAGTCGACTTTAGCACACTCTACAGCAAGGGAGACTGAATTTGATGCAGATCCGAAGTCCTCCCTTGAAGCCCAATCATCTGCTGAAGTCAAGGCTGAAGTGTGTGATGTGTTGTATGTCGAGCCTTGGGAGGAGTCTGGGACGGTCGACTTCCACTACCACTTGGAGCATTGGGCTGAGATTAAACAGCAGCGTGCCCAAGGGACAGCCAAGCTGATCTTCTTCAAACTTCTCATAAACCACCGCTATCTCTGTGTCTTGATTGACTGTGGCGCGACGGCTAACTTTATGTCACCTCACAGGATACGCAAAGTGGGCTTGGGAATAAAGCAAGTGGCCTTGCAGAACCCTTGCCGAACCCAAGTTGGCAACAAGGAAGTTGTCTCTTCTACGCATGCAGTCAAAGGTGTGCGCACTACCTTTGACAAGAACAAAACGTCACCCACGCACTGAACTTCTATGTCCTTGACAAGTGCCCCTTCGACGTTGTCCTTGGCTTGGGTTGGCTGCAGTCCCAATGCGAATGGACACTAGTGGAAGGAGTCACTCTTCATGGTCAAAGATGCTCGGGGGAATGAGCTTCTTGTCCTCTTGGATGAGAAGCACGAGTCACCAGTGACTTTTCTGAATGCTATGAAGTTCTGCAAGAAATGGCGCAAGCACAAGGAGGAAGAGCAGTTGTATGTTGCCTTTGTTCGTCCTACTCATGTGCCATCTACTTTTGCGGTTAATACCACTACTACTTCATCGAGTGATACTACTTCTAGTACTACTACTAACACCTCTACTTCTCTACCTCCTACTCGTCCCCACGCGATCGGTCCGACACACCATTGAGTTGGTTGAGGGTGTTGTTCCTCCAAAGGGTTGTGTATACCGAATGGGACCCGCCGAGTTGGAGGAACTTCGACGACAAATTGGTGCTCCTGTCTTGTTTGTTCCAAAGAAAGGAGGCAAGCTCCGCATGTGTATTGACTATCACGGCCTAAACCGCATCACATAAAAGAACGCCTATCCATTACCTCGAATAGATGACTTGCTTGATGTTGCAGGTGGGTGCAAGGTCTTTTCCAAGATCGATCTCAAGTCTGGCTACCACCAGATTGAAGTCGATCCTGCGGACCAACACAAAACTGCATTCAAAACACGCGATGGGCTTTACGAGTTTACCGTAATGCCCTTCGGTCTTACGAACGCACCTGCCACCTTCCAAAGCCATATGGACAAAGTCCTCCGCGAACAGATTGGCCGGTTCGTGGTGGTCTACCTCGATGACATACTAATCTTGAGCAAGTCCATGGAGGAATACCTCAAGCACCTTGAGGAAGTACTGACCATCCTCAGGAAGACGCAACTCCATCTCAACTTAGAGAAATTTGAGTTTGGGAAGGATAGTGTCATCTATCTTGGGCACCGGTTGTCTGCTGCCGGCCTAGAGCCTGAGGCAACCAAGGTGGAGGTCATACGCAACTGGCCTCAGCCCGTGACTGTTCGCGAACTGCGCTCTTTTCTTGGTCTCGCGTCATACTATCGAAAGTTTGTGCCCCGCTTCTCCATTGTTGCGCGTCCATTGTCTCAACTTACGAGTAAGAATGTTCCCTATTCTTGGGACACCGCGTACACGAACGCCTTTCAAGCTTTGAAAGACGCCTTGGTAAGTTACCCAGTACTCCGCATTGCAGATCCCAAACTTACATTCGTAGTTACTACGAATGCAAGTCAATATGGAATCGGCGCAGTGCTGCAGCAAGATGACGGCGATGGCTTGCGGCTGCTCGAATTCTACAGCAAGCGCATGCCCAGCGTAAAGGTAGCCACTTCCACCTACATGCGCGGGCTCTATGCTTTGCGTATGGCTTTGGACCATTGGAAGCACTATCTTTTGGGACGCCACTTCAAAGTGTTCTCAGATCACGAGACCCTAAAGTGGATCAAGGAGCAAACTACCCTGTCCCCTACGTTAATTCGTTGGTTCCATGAAATTGACATTTTTAACTTTAAGTTGAGACACAAAAAGGGTTGTTATAATCGAGTCACTAACGAATTGTCTCGCCACCCTGAGTACACGACTTGCTTTGTGAAATCCTACGACCTCCGGAAGAAACTGAAGGAGGAGCTCGTAGAGCAGACAGCCAAGGATCCGAAACTTAGTCCCATCCTTGAGTGGTTCACACTGATCCTAGTAGTCAACCTGTTTTTCACGAATATGGAGGACTGATTTTCCGTCGCTACGGGAACCACGATCGCTTGTGTGTGCCCAACCATGAGCCTCTTCGCACGCATTTTCTGGATTTGGCTCATAGCCATAGTGGACACTTCGGCATGGCAAAGACGTACGCAAATCTACTGCGACAGTTTGATTGGCCTGGCATGAAAGGGACTGCTGAAAAGTTTGTGGCTGAGTATCAAGTCTGTTAACGAATCAAACCATGCAGACAAAAGCCCATGGGGCTACTCACACCCCTTCCCATTCCCAATGGTCTCGGGGAGTCCGTCTCCAATGACTTCACCGACATGGGAAAGGAGAGTAAGAACGGCTACTCACAAGTCATGGTGATTGTTGACCGATTCTCTAAGTTTCTCAATCTGATCCCTTTGCCGCCGCACGCCCCAACAGAATTATTGATTCGTGAGTTCCAACAACAGTATATTCTGCAATTCGGGACCCCGAAGACTCACGCAAGTGATCGGGACCTGCGCTTCATTAGTACTGAATGGAAGGACTTCACATCTCATCTGGGGATCAGGCTGTGTATGACATCTGGCCGACACCTGGAAGCCAACGGTTTGGCTGAAGAAATCAACCAGACTGTGTTCCAACTTCTCCGCGCTTTGATTATCCCGGATCAGGAAACATGGGATGAAGAGCTGTATTTCGTTAGGGGGTTGTACAACAACTCCATCCATTCTGCCATCGGCATGACACCTAACAGGCTGCATCTCGGTTGGCAGATCCGTAATCCGCTCTCCTACCTATTCCCTGAGCAGCCAGCTGGCTTAACACCCGGCAGGCCTGGCTTCAAGGCCAAGTATGATCGCTTGCTCAAGGTTGCCATTGCAGCCATGACCAAGCGACAACACGCCATGATCCATCAGGCGAACAAGAGGCGCCGACTGTCAGACATTCAGGTAGGAAGCTATGTCTGGGTCAAGATGTCTGAATTCTCAGAAGAAGGGGTCTCTCGCAAACTTCTCCCACTCTATTACGGACCGTGGGAAGTTTTGGATGTGATTGGCGAAGACCACTTTGGCCCTTCGGACGTAGTTGATGTGCCAGCCCATCTGCGCACATACCTCGTGTTCCACGCATCGAAACTGTACCTCCACCGTGACGCTAAGACGTTCGACTATCGCGAAGACATGATCCGTCGTGCGATCAAAGGCGGGCATGAGATAAACATAATTAAGTAGCACGTAGGGAAGGGACGCAACAGACAGTACTAGGTTCACTTCATGTATCACCCATTAGACGATCTGTACTGGATTTCCAAACAGGAACTGCTACGCAGTGCACCGCGCGTTGTCAAAGCCTACGAGCGACAAATCGCCACTAACGCTGCAAGGCTCACTGCAACCGAGTACTCTAGGAACCTCTTTCCCTTGCTTGCTTACGATGCGTTTGTCGAGGACTCAGAATGAGTTACTCGCTCGAAGGGACCTCGCTCTTGAGGGGGGAGTAGTGTGATGACCCGTCCAAACATGGACTGAAACACAACTGATTTATGAGTTTTGCCCATAGACTGAATGCCTTGCTGAGTTACCCGCCTGCTACTAAATCTGTGTGTGCACGCTTGCTGGGCTGCATGTCTGTCTGAGTGCTGGTTGGCTTGAGTGTAAGTGTGGCCGTGCCTGTCTGAGTGCTGGTTGACTTGAGTGTGTGTTTGGTCGTGCCTGTCTGAGTGCTGGTTGGCTTGAGTGTGTGTGTGGCCCGCAAGGTCACTTGCTCGTTGATTGGGCCCTCAGGGCCGGTACTTACCTGTGGCTGTGACATTGAGGGATTGCAGCAGGAAAAACACTCAAGTAGCGGGTAGGCCAGTACCGCACCCTGAAGGGGTAGATGTGCGGGTACTAGAGGCCGAGCAGAAGAAGACAAAAGTGGCATTTTTAGAGGCCCGGTAGTTGTAGGTTAGGTCTAGGTGGATACCAGTCCAACCAGTCTGGGTTTAGGGCCTGTACGGGCAATATCAGAGTCTGCAATGATGTTTCCCTCCAAAAGGGAGGAGGTACCGGTTGCTTGGAAGGCCGAGCGGCCTGGAAGCCACCGCCCGAAGAGGCAAGCAGGCTGCTATATCTCCTAGTCGGGTGAAGAGCCCGGCCTCTTTTTCGGTGTGCAAGTTTGGCGACACACTGGTGGAGCGCTGGCTGGAGCAGCGCTGCTGGGGAGGAAGGAGAAGGACACGAGGGAGGAAGAAGGAAGGAAAGGGGGGAAGCGCCAGGGGTACTTTCTTGGCTATGGTGGCAGCCATCTTCATCACCTTGGTGGGCGTTGCAGCAGGGAGTCCCCAACTGGGGAGAGCTACACCAAAAAGCTTCGAGGCAGGGTCGGGCATGGCGGCCTGAGCTAGAGCAGCCATAGCTGCTTTGGGTTGTCCTTTGGGTATAAGGGCAAGGCCTAGTAGTCCGCCATAGCCCCGGCCTATGAGAGTGAAGAATGGGAGAGGCGGCCATGGCTATGGTGGACCTCAAGAGGTACACTAGTGAATACTAGTGATGGGAACTGTGCTGTCTCAGCGAAAGGTGCAAGCTTGGAGGCGTGAAAAACAGGGTAAGTGCGTAGGTGTTGCATACTAGTGAATACTTCAACAAGTATGAGCAAAACCAAAGATCAACCAATAAAGGGTGAGCATGTATGCAGCGGAAGTCTAATAAATGGACTGACTCACATAGACTAAACTCATACAGATATCACTCAACACACCAACAATCGTGAGATGGTGGGGTCTGAGCCAATCATAGACGATGCTTAGGCCCCATACAACCATACACAGATGAAAGGTGGGAGAAGAGTCGAAGGAGGTGGGAGATGCAGGCAGCGCCAGAAGTTACCGAGATAGAATCCAGTAGGTCACCGATATGGTAGTCCAAAATGTCATCGAACAAGATCAAAATGTCGTGGACAATAAGTCACCAATGTCGGAGGTACAGAGTCCTAATGCAACCGGTGTCCAATCTGTGATGCCGCCGAGTATCAACCCCAACAATCTCCAAGTCTCGAATCCGGTAAGTATCACAGCCTCTTACCACCGAAGTCCAACACTGATCTCTGTCCAACTCGTATCAAGTCTCCAATCTGAAGAAGAAGAAGAAGAAGAAGAAGAAGAAGAAGAAGAAGAAGAAGAAGAAGTCTGAAGAGGAAGAAGAAGAAGTCTGGAGGAGAAGAAGAAGAAGAAGTCTGGAGGAGAAGAAGAAGAAGAAGAAGAGATGGCAGAGGAGGAGGAAGAGGTGAGGAGGAGGGGAGCCGGTGACTGTGGAGGGAGGACAAAGATCCTCGCCTCCGAGTACCTGGCTCGCTGCAACCGACTGTAGGTCGAAGTCGGCGATGGCCGCCGAGCTGCCGATGGGATGCTGCCTGGCTCCTTGCTCGCTGCGGCGCTAGCTGCGCTAGCTGCGCTGTTGTGCTACCTCCGAGCTGCGCTAAGAATAGCTCAGCGCTAACGCTCCTCTGAACCGAAACGGACTGGCGCTCACTCAGCGGTCCAGTCGCTCGATAGCCCCCAAGTGAGGCTGGCCGGTCTCTAAGTACCAGTAGGGCAAAGGCCGGCCTCAGTGCTGCGAGGCCTGGCCGTGACCTGAACCGTCAAGATCGATGGTTTAGATCAGACCGGCCGGCGGTAGCCTCAAGAGTGCCGCCAAGCCCAAACGGTAATGTTGTTTGGGCATGCCCATCAGGTCTGGTCCAAAATGTGGCCTTTCAGCCTGCTGTACCCCAAGTTCGGGCCTTTAGGCCCGACTGTGTCCCCTTGGCCCTAAGTCAGGTCCGGTAGGACCCGTGTGGCGTCGAAGATGTAACAGTAGGTGACCAGGGATATGAATGATGTATGAGGGACCATCCAAATCATTCTCCACAATATCCAAGACTTCCCAGGGACCGAAATACTGAGGCATTAGTTTCCTAGAGATTCCAAATCCCTGTCCCAACTCACTAGCCTTGACCCAGACACGTTCCCCTACCTGAAATGTGGACTGTCGGCGTTTCTTATTCTCAGAAGCAATCATGGCTTCCTGAGATTTCTTGATGTGTTTGACGATCTGCTGCAACAATTTCTCGTACTGGACACCAAATTCAATGGTTCCAGGAGTTGCAGCAGTTCGGTTTTCAGGCAGGAGAAGTCTGGAGCAGATCTAGGCTTCCATCCCAGATGTAGCTAATTTGGGGTGACCCCGGTGGTGCTGTGTACAACGTTATTGTACAGACTGGCTATGAGAGGTAACTTCTCATCCCAGTCATCCTGGTTGGGCTTGATGTAATGCGTCAGCAGATGCTGCACCACACGGTTCATCTGTTCAGCCTGCCCATTTGCTTCGGAATGATTCCCAGAAGTCATCTGAAGCTGGTTCCCATCTATTCAGCGTCTTTCTTCCACATCTCGCTGGTGAATCGCACATCTATATCACTAACGATTGTCTTTGGTAAACCGAAATCACGCACCCATTTATCCATGAATAACTTAATGAAGTATTCGGTCCTAGCGGTCTCTGGCATGGCAACTAGTCTAGCGAACTTAGTAAACCTATCAACTTTGACGAAGATGTGCCGCTTGCCATTCTTGCTGGTCACGAGAGTATCCATGAAGTCCATGGAGATGCTCTGCCCTGGGCCAGCAGGAATGGGTAGAGGCTTGAGTAACCCAAGTGGAGCTTGAGTCCGCGGCTTATCCCGCTGATAGACCTGACAGGTCTGTACGTACTTCTTTGCATCGTCTAGCATGTTAGGCCACCAGAATCGTTGTACTAAATTAGCACTAGTCTGCTTGTAGCCGAAATGTCCTATTGCGTCGTGACACTCACCTAAAACTAAACTACGCAAAATCTCCCTAGATGGAACAACTAACCTCTTAAACCCTGCCTTCTCAAAAAAGAGTAACCCATCCACCATCACAAACTCGTCAGAGGTGACCTTGTCTTTAGCCTGCAGTTTGTTGATGATGTCCATCGTGATGGGATCTTCCTTGTAGGCTTCCCCCAAAGATCGAGTAACGTTCTCATACCATCCAAACTCAGATACCAGCGCACCTAGGTAATCTGCCCTGCGAGACAACGCGTCCGCAGATGGTCAGTTCTCAAGTAGAAGAACCTTCCTAACAGATAGTGCCTTGTAGAGAGCATATATTTCCCTTCCATAGGTGGACTTCGCCAATTTCTTTGATGGCATCTTTTTGCTCATATACTCGACCGGTCTCAACTTTTTCCCTTCCTGCTGAGCCAGCACTGCGCCAATGCCATATTGGCTTGCGTCAGTGGTTACAACGAATGGCCTCTGGCCCTCTGCGGGTTAGGTACCATGAGAACTTCATGGTGTGTGAGAGCATGCTTCAATCGCTTGAATGCTGCCTCACACTCGTCGGTCCAGTCCCATGACGTGTCAAGTCGAGTTAGATCAGTGAAGGGAGATGCGATCGTACTATAATTCTTTGCGGTAATATCCACGCATTCCCAAGAATGATCTAACCTCAATCACAGACTAGGGTCGTAGCCAGTCCCTAATGCTAGCCACCTTCGCATCTTCGGGCCTAATTCCATCCACGGATACTTCATGACCCAAGTACAAGATTCGAGTGCGACCGAACTCGCATTTCTCTAGGTTTATCTTATACTTGTGCTGTCGAAGGAGTGAAAGTACCTTGCCTACATGCTGAGCATGCTCTTCGACACTTTTACTAAAGATAAGTATGTCGTCGAGGTACATAACAACGAACTTATCCAAGTAGTCATGGAAGATCCTATTCATGGCGTGCTGGAATGTACCTGACACATTGCAAAGGCCAAAAGGCATCACCACAAACTCATACAGACCGTACCTGGTTTGAAATGCGATTTTGTGTTGGTCCTCTGGTCTTATGGCAATTTGATGGTAGTCGAATTTTGAGTCTATCTTGGTATAGTACTTACACCCCTGCACCCTATCCAATAGGTCGCCGATGCGTGGTAGAGGCTCTGCGTGCCTAACAGTGATGGCATTGAGGCCTCTATAATCAATGCACATCCTTAGTGTTCCCCCTTTCTTTGGAACAAATAAGACTTGTGAGCCAAAGTGGGAGGTGCTAAGTCGAACCCACCCCTTCTCTGTGAGCTCTTTCAGTTGTCGCTGAAGCTCGTTTAACTCGGTCGGAGCCATCCTATAGATTCTTCCCTTAGGTGTTTGGCTACCTAGGATGATCTCTATGGCATGGACAACCTCCCTGTCTACAACTCCTGTAGGCTCCTCAAACAGATTAGGGTACTTAGTGACGATTGTCTCTATCTCTGGGGGTGTTTTAACGGCCTTCCCTTTTCGCAGAGACATATACTAAGTACATTCCTTCCTCTTGGTTCTGTTTACAGTAGTTATAGAAGTCTGATGCGCATAAGCACCCATAGGAGTCTATTAACCTATTGGCTTTATACTTGGCCAGTCTAACGGTCGTCCCATTAGGCAACTCGTGCTTCAACACCTTCTTGTCCCAGTCAAACTGGGGCTTGGCAACCTCGAGGTAGTACATGCCCAACAACATGTCAAAGGGCAAATTGTCACTCACCAGGAATGATATCTTATGGCTTATCTCTCCTCTTGGATAGGAGAAGGTGCAGACCACGTCTTTAACGTAATCCTCCACCATCATTCACTCTTTATTGGCCAAAGTAGATGCTACCGGTCTACTAAGGCGCTGCACCCGGTCCTTTAGGCGCAGTCTATCAAAGCAGTCGCGACTTATGAAGTTTCGCGTGGAGCCAATGTCTACGAAGGCGCCGCACTTGCGACCACCCACACCAACTTCCACAACGAAGTGCTCCCCTCTAGGACCTCAACTTAATGCCACCCAGGACTCACGAGGGTCCCTTGCCGACCACTCACCTTGAAGGTCCTTTAAGGCTTCAGACACATCCAACGTTCAGAGTATAGTTGGGCCTGGATGTGCCTGCGGGGTGACTAGGGAGTCAATAGCTTCAGCCAGTAGTACACGCAGGCCATGCTGCTTTGTCCATTGGGGCTCTTTGCTGCGCTGATAGAAGCGGTGTGCAGACTGACCAGTCCTACGTAGACGCTCCCAGACCGTCTATAAACATTTTTGGTTGGGGTTTGAATTGTCCACTGGCTGTGATTTTCGTCCTGATTGCGATGTTAAAGAATTCCTGAGGACTCTCGGGGGCTGTCCTTAAATTGCCTCTTGATCAGCCAGATCAGTCAGACGTAAGGCTCGTTGCACGCCAGGGTAAACAAAGGGCAGGACTGGTCATAAGCATACTTCTTGGGCACAGGGGTGGGTCGTGGTTGCACACCTTAGATACTGCCGCTTGATGATGCTCATAGGTACGTTGGATACAGGGGAAGGGGATTCCAATTGTGAACTTTATTGTGCATCACTATCATATCCATTGTGCATACATCTGCTCGCAGTAGTCTATTTCTATTTTGATTAGGTGGTTGACAAAGTGCTGATACCTAACAGACAACCTAGAGAAGGACTGTAATCTACTATATTCAGTTCTTCTCAAAGCTTTTGTGCAGAACTAATCTTGATAGAGGTAGACTACGTGTATAGTCTGTATAGGTGTTGTTGATACCGCTTGAATAGTAGCCGAGGTGACTCGCTGGGTAATTATTTATTTATTTTTAGCACCAGTCATATGTATGCTGCGGTAGGTCCCAGAGAGGACTCTAGTGCAGACAACATCTGCTTAGCCGATGAGTGGATCAGTCGGGGATGAAGGCACAACTGATGCTAGGAGGTTAACAAGGCTATCATCGCTTAGAATCCCTAGAGTATTCCAGGCACAACAACCGGGAGAAGAGAGAAGACTAAGGGCCGAAGCGAGAGGCCGTAGTCTTGAGGCTGCAAGGGAAGCAGCAGCGGCCGAAGCAAGGGAGTTAGCAGCAGCTAGCTAGGTAGCAATGGCTACCCGCTTCAGGATCTTCTGCAACCTCTGGTCTGGGCATGCCGTCCAACTCGACCAACTTGCAGTAAGTCTCCAATACGTCAGGTGTCAGAGCTAGTCACATGGCGGGAGTGCAGTCCAGCCTGCCGCCTCATCTTATAAGGGAGCAGATGGAGCTCCAACAGGTAGAGAGGATCCGCCTGAGGTTAGAAGAGGAACTCAAAGAGGCTACTAAGAAAGAAAGAGAAATTAGAGAGAGACGAGCCAGACTAGAGAGTAGGGAGGCAAACCTAGTTGCACTAGAGGGTTTAGATGACGTGGCCCTTAACTCTAGAGGGGAGATTCTTAAGGCGAGCGTCCTGTCCTTGCATGCGTACATGGGTAGCAAATTGGAAACCATGTAGGACACCCTGGACTAGATCATGAAAGCCCTACAAAGACCAGAGACCCGGTCAGCAGCTTTGCCATCGCTGCCATTCACAGCAATCAAGCGGTACATCAGCAGCAACCCAATCTCAGATTGTTGCTTCTTTGTCTTCTGGTCCAGCGGCTGGAGCTACACCACAACCGCTACCTGTCTTACCAGTGGGACAGCAGCAGCCTTGGTACCCCAAGACCCCTTTGAAACCACCTCTAACCTTCTCAGGAGATAAGAAGGACGAGGCACTCGATACTTGGTTGAGAACGGTTCCAGTGTGGGTCAGGGCGAAGAGGATGCTGGTAGAGGAGGAGGTGATTGCTGCTGCATCCTACGTAAAGGGTTCAGCAGCTCGCTGGCTAAATGGATTACTGGCTTCAAAAGGGTTTGGCAGGAACATAGGTGACTGGGCCAAGACCCACACCTTAGAGAGCTTTATGGACTTAGTGGAGGCTCGGTGGCACAACCCTAATTGTCGTCCTAGGAGTGAGTACAATCCACATGTCTTTTGACCATCTTCTTGAGATGTCTTCCCACAGACATCAAGAACTTAGTAGCCAATGAGGCTCGTCTAGAGTATCACACTTTTGAGACATTCAACAACAAGGCCCTAGACTTAGAGGCTACGCTGGGTGGTGCTCAAACCCCCACTACGGACGAAAGAAAGAAGACTCCACAGGAATGGAAGAAGAAGGGTAGTCGATTGATGATGGTTGATTCCGAAGGGAATCAAACTGAGATCGATGATGTTTCTAAACTTGTGGAGGGTTCAAAGTTAGATGGCGAGGACAGTGTTGAGGGTAGCAACCTCGCCGCCGTAGTTAAGACTAAGGCAGGTGGCCGCGGCAAGGTCGGTCAACAAAGGAGTCAGGGGCAAGCCGCCAACCCAAACAAAATAGCTGTTTGGGTGAGGGCCGGTTTGGATTAGGAAGTGTGCCGGGACCGTTGGTGGCGTGATGCTTGCATAGACTGCGGCGAGTACGACCATACGCAGTTTAAACCACCAGTACCTACCGGTTGTCAAGGCCCATGGCTCAGGCGACCGGTAGCCCGGTTATTCCCGAGCCTCAGACTTTATTGTCGAGCCTCGGACAACCGGTAGTACACAAC